CATCTTTGTGGCTCTGTGCTGGACTCTCCAGCAGTGCTCTGTCTCTCTTGAGGGGCCCAGACCAGAACTGGACATAATATTCCAGATGTGGTCTCACCAGGGCAGAGGAGAGGGGGAGGAGAACCTCTCTTGACCTACTGACCACCCCCCTTCTGATACACCCCAGGATGCCATTGGCCTTCTTGGCCACGAGGGCACAGTGCTGGCTCATGGTCATCCTGCTGTCCACCAGGACCCCCAGGTCCCTCTCCCCTACACTACTCTCCAACAGTTCCATATATATCGTATATATATAATAATAGAATGGAAAATTATTGGTCCCTGTGCACAATCTGTATGTCCTGCAACCACTAGATTAAAACAAAACAAAAAAAAAAGCTATGTATGAAATTATACAAGATCTGAGAACTGCCAGTGTGCCCTACTAGTGTGGATTGCAATGTCCTTTGAGTGGGTAGGTTCTTGGCCAGCCATGAAGAATGGTAGCTCTATGTATTCCACACATTTTCATAGCGTTGCACAGCAGCTGAGTTTGGAAGATACCTTTGGAGGTCATGTGGTCAACCTCCCTGCTCAAAGCCGAGCCAGCTTCACAGTTAGATCCACTTTTGAAATTACACGTTGCTCAGGGCAACTTGCCTCAGTGAGTGATGAGTGTTTCCCTGTCTGGAGATTTGGTGGCCTCTCTGGACAGCCTGCTCCAGCAAATTATCATCATCAGTGTTAAAACTTCTGTTCTTTTTATGGAAGAGGAATTTCCATTGGTTCATTGCCTCTTGCACTTTTTCTGAGCATTTTTGAGATGAGTCTGGCTCTATCTTCTCTCTAACTACTACCTAGATGGCTGAAGACAGCAACTAGATCCCTCATTAGCTAATAAGATCCCTCTTCCTGCTAAATGAACTGAGTTCCCTCAGGTTCTTCTCATATGTCATATGCTTTAGAACCGTTTTGGTGAACCTTTGCTGAACTCAGTCCAGTTTGTCACTGTTTATCTTGTACTGTGGAGCCCAGAATTAGACACATTACTCCATTTTTTTCAGTGAACTGAGTTGAAAAACTTATGTTTGACTCCAAGACAGCTGTAAAACTGATGTATTTCCAACACTAAAAGGGTGTATGCTATTGATAAGATTTATAAATGAAAAGACCAGTTGATGGTATGAGCTAAAAATGTTCTACCTACTTCTTTGAAGACAGAGTCAGGAAACTGCATGAAAAAATGTGTTCAGGGAAAAGTCATCTTGGTGGCAGGGCTACACTGCCTGAGCCAAACTGGCATTACAAGTTTTCAAGTTGCAAGTGGTTCTCAGAAACACATCTGTTATAAGAAGTTTGTGTTGAGGAAAGCCTAAATTCTTCTCTTTTCACAGGACTTCAAATCCTTATAGGATGATATAGTCATGCCTATGTGCTCACCTTTCTCAGTCATGCCTTCTTGAATCTTCTGCTAGTGAGATGTTCTACCTATTCTTTGCTACTCTTGCACCTTTACTGTGGTATTTCCATGTTGAAGGCTGTCAGGCAGGTTCTGTAGCTCTCTATAGTTGTTTAAGAACATTTTTTTCCCAGCAAATCTAATGGAGACTTAAAACCAAAGTTGTCGAACTAGTTAATGCATGGTGAAAGGTTTGAGCAAAGAAAGAGCTAATTAGTTCTTGATACATGGTCCACCTGTAAAGTTCTGTGTATTTCCTTTTTATCTGTGTCTTTTAAAAAATGAAGCAAAATGCGAAACTGGAGGGAGTTTTAAGAAAGTTGCTCATTTTTGGTGAATTAAAAGGTTGATAGGGAGACTAAGTAAAATACATAGTACTTGTAAAGGAATTATTGTTACATTAGGAAAAATTAGTAAGTGAAGTATCTGCCCAAACAGTATATTTTAGCTGTTGGGAATGGTAGCTCAAAAGCTGATCATATCTGCCATACTCAAGCCTTACAACTATCTACTTGGTGTCCTTAGGAATACCTAAAGAATTAGTAATATTTGAATATCCTTGTACAGTATCTTCTATGCAGTTGTTGCATAGTGGTGAGTAAGTCTTCTGCCAGAAGCCCTCAAAAGAAAGGGTTCATATTTGGAATCCCTTAATGGAGACTTTTGTTAAACTATCACTTATACAAGTGATTGTGCACGAGGTACACTAGTGTCCTTTTAGATTCCAGCTGGTGACCATGCAGTAGAGTGCTGGTGATGCTAGCTGCCTTCAGTCAGCCTTTCAGTGCACGATAAAGTACATGTGCATACCTAGGCACCTTTCCACATTGAAACATGTCACGTTTATAACATAGCCATCTGCTAATAAAAGATGTGCAATTATTTATACACAAGTCATTTTTGTGTCATAGCCATTACTATCTACTCTGACTAAACAGAGTAGTGGGAGATCAATAGGATGTCTGTCTGCATTAAACAGCATAGCAAACCAGTACCTGAGATGCCATTCAGAATATGCGCAGTGTCATTTGCCCTGTCCCTCATGAATCCATGAAAACATGCATTAAACAAATGCTTCCAGTCTACTTCATTCCTTGATCATTGAAGTAGTGATGTAAACTGCTCTAGTAAATCATAGTATTATGAAGATGGGAGAGCAAATCCTCAGTGCCACTTGTGGATTTGAGAGCATTCAAATAAAGTTTTTCAAGTGTGATTTGCTCTGTCTTTTGTACCTAGGAACACTAGGGACCAAATCCTCTGTGCTCTTCCAAAAAAGATTAATTTTACAAGCTTAAATTCCCATACTGTGGTGGCATGAAGTCCTTCCATATTTCCCATGAACGCTGCTTTACACATTCCACATGCCAGAAGCATCAATAAGATTGGTATAAATACTGAGGGTTATAGAATAAAGGATCATTCTTATTCAGATCTGTGAAAGCAGTGGAACATGTGCTATGGGTTTACTAAAGTCAGCAAGAGTTAAGGACATGTTTAAGAGTTAACAAAGACAATATTTTTCCTTGCTTAACTGTGAGCTCCGTGGTAAAATGAATAGATTATACCCAACCCTTCGAGAATATTTCTGTGTGTTATAACACTTCTTGTTTTGAAGAAACAACATGTAAGATCTAACCTCAGTGCACCACAGCCTCCTTTTAGGGAATGTATGTAAGTGTATCTTTAAAGCAAAAGGTATCGTCTCCTGATTTTAATGGGCTTACCAGTGGCTGAAGTAACAAAATGAGGAAATAAGAAAAAGACTGAAATTATTTTTTTTAACATCAGTTAATAAAAATACAAATTTTCTCCTTATTTTTTCCTGTATTTTTCCAAATTGAAGGTTGAAGAAATACAAATATTGCCTCTTTTGTGAATTTGTCATTAATATGCTTTTTTTTATAGTCTACATTTCTATGCAGAAAACAGTTCAAAAAATGTTAATTGTGTATTTAAATACTGTCTGTTCAATAGATTCTTTATATCTCAGGTTAAACCAATATGAAGTAATCTTCATCTGCAAATATACAAAGTTTATCAAAATGCATTCCTTCTTTATTAGAGTATTGCTTTGTTCTGACCACTAGATGGTGTAAATGTCTGCAGGTATGTTCGTCTGCTTGAGAATGTAATGACACTGTTAGAAATCTTATTTTTTTGTGACCAACAGATATTTCCTGGACTGATTCTCTCAGACATTAAGCCTGCCAAAAGAATGAAGTTCAAGACAGTCTGCTACCTGCTTGTTCAGCTCATGCACTGTCGTAAGATGTTCAAAGCGGAGATCCCTTTCTCCAATGTCATGACGTGTGAGGATGATGATAAGGTAATCTATGTGGGCCCTTTGGAGGCCTGCTCTGAGAACATATGGGATGACCTGACCAATTGATAGAGGACTTTCTGGTGTTTCTGCTGGAGCTGGAGCTGTAATGCTTACAGCCTTCTCATGGTAAAAAAAAAAAAAAAAAAAAAAAAACCTTAATTATAACAGGCCTCAAATTTGGACCTTCTCTTGAACAAGCCAGCACAGGTGGCTTTTGTGACTTCTATTAAGGGCTTGCTTCACGGGAATTGGATTTTCTAAGTCTTTTTCTGCAATTACAAACAGCTGTTCTTTTGCATCATGAGTCCGTCACAGTCTGAAGCTGATGGCAGCAAATGTAAAATAACAGAATAATTTTGTATCTCTAGATGGTTCTCTAAAAAATGGAAGGCAAGTGATTATCAAGAAAACCTCTTAGTCGCTAACACAAACCCTAAATACAAAAGTCCCTAATACAAATATGGATACCCCTTTCTTGAATGGCTCGTAATGCCATAACTCTGAATTGCTTTACATACTAGTAGCCTGGTTTACTTCCTTTTCTGTGTGTGAATCTATCCAGAAATTTATGGAGAAAAAACTCTTGAAGAGTTGGTCATTCCATTTTCTTTGCCAGCAGGTGGCAATATTACATAGGTCATTCCACCAGTACTCCAAAGCAGGGCATGTGTGCCCTGGAGTCAGTAATTCATCTTGGCTGATTGCTCCACCTATGTGTATTGGGTTTTTTAAAAAATAATGTACATTTATTGAAAGTTCAGTCTAAATCTTACTTTCAGAAAGCATTCTAACTTTTATGTTTTGGATTTTACATGTGCTTGTGTTTCTTCTGCTAAAAAAGACAAGAACAGTCCATCAGTTCCTTTAAAACACAGTTTCAGTTAAGATTTTCAGAAACTCTAGATTTGATTTGAAATTGGCCATGTACAAGGCCATCCAATTGTGAATTAGTACCATTGAGTATTTAAAAATAAACCACACATTATTTGAAGCATATGCAATACTTTACAATTGTCTTGAGTATATATTAATAAATATGGTAGTATATGCAGAAAATTCTGTTATGGGTTTGCTAGGGATCTGACAAAAATTTTCTCATGTCACAACATTTGAAGGGAAGTTCTTTATCTGATATCTTTAACTGAACTAGTGGTTCTGAGCTTTTGTAGCTGATCTGTAACATTTATCATGGAACATGATATATGATTTTATGATAAATACACTGTGTTGTAATACAGGGTTTCTTCAGAGATATCAGTCTTCAAATAATGTAAAACAAGCTATGAAGACTTTGAAGCCAGAACATGCCTGTAGCATTTATTTATTATTTATTAATCATACTGTAGTAGTTATTTAATTTCTGAGAATTATAAATTCTGGATCTTGATCACATAGAACACATAATGTAAGTCTACTGTGAGAAATAACAATCAAGATAAAAATAAGAGACCTAGTGAAAATAATTACATATGAGCAACAGCTATTTTGATTAAACATGGTAATTTTAACCTGATTTCAAAATGCCAGAATAAATAATACAATTTATTCCGTATATCAGAAAAACTTCCATCATCTATGCTCATTGCAGATTTTAAAACAAAGAAACATTTTCTTTTTTTTTTTTTTTTTTTAATGCTGTTTTGCTCATCCCTATTATTGTGCTAGAAGCTTAATTTTGGATTATAAAAAAATCTCCGAAGAGGTACTTTCTGCTGCACCTTAAGCAATACATATGCTAACTAATTGTTGTTCACCTTTATGAAGAGCAAAATTGTATATTCCGGACAATACTCCTGAAAGCACTCAGTTGCCCTACAAACTTGTGGGACAAATGTCTTCTGCAAAAGAACAACTTTATCTCTGTTTAGAAACATTTAGAAAGTTGTTTGGCTGGCAATTTAAGATTTCTGTTATGGCTAACAGAACCCAGAAGGTTGGGTTTGAAAGCTCTAATGCATGTATGTCCACAAGATTATTTTTTGTGTCGAAACAATTAGTTCTTACACCACAGAGAAGTAGTGGGATCTGATAGTTTGAAGAAAAATGTTTCAAGTAGCCTCATAACTGTTTAGTGCTGGTATAAACTGTTCTCTACATATAAAACCAGCAAAACAGGTCTTGGAAAGTTATTTTGTCTTTGTTAAGGCCCATTCTTCTTTATGATCAGAAACTAAGGTACCAGTCAGCAGTTAACCCTTCCCACTGTTTGTAAGTATTCAGGTGTAATATCCATATAACATAACCTATGTAAGCTAATGAGCTTCTGTAGTCCACTGTTTTTTCACTTATGAGGATCTCATGAGAACTACTTCTTGTGGAATAAGACAGGAAACTGCCATTCCTGCAGAGTTACTTAGTGTTCACCACCTCTTTTTACCATCTGGTTATAAAAGTATATTTTTTTACTGTAGCCTAAAGGTTGGGCTATTAAGTACTGACTGCTCTGAAGAGAGAAATTTTGTGTGCTTTTATAACAGCTTGCTGATGGTCTCGACTGATTATAACCTGAGCCAATGTGGTCCTTATTCCGGAGCAGACTTGTTATTTCATAATGTTTCGAATTGTCTTCTTGAACTCTGCAGAGTTAGATTAAAAAAACATTCATTTAAACTGTATAAAAACAGTACAACTTGCCTGAGCTTGGTTGTCAAAACTCTTCTGGGAAGTAAGGCTTGAGCTCTTCTGAGGTAAAAAGGGTATTCAATGGATGTCTCATTCTTCCTGCTCAGTGTGCTAACCATCAGGTGACTGTTTTTTCTTTCAGAAGATTACCCTACATCTTTCTCACTGTGTTTAAAAAATGTCACATCTACAAGAGTATTTTGTGAAGGCCCTGATTCTTTCAGTGTGCTGCGGCATGGGCAGTCATGCTAGTGCAGACTTAGATTAGGATTACAGTGCCCTCAACTGATGGTTACCACCAGTGTGACTGAGATACTCCTCACCATCTTCTGAGTGCTCTCTGTGAAAAGTGAGACAGATTGTCTAAAATCCCTTTCACATACGCTCTGTGAAAAATCATTTGCATTGAAAAGGACTATGGGTGATCACCTTGCTAGTAGTGCTATCTCAGTCATGGATGAACTAACCCCAGGGAGGCACAAGTTCGCTCTGATAATTTATTGGACTGCTTCGTATGGATCTGCATAGTGTATTTAAGGTATACCCAAGAGGTCTTAAGAGAGCCACTTGGGTGAGTTTAAGATAGGAACACTTGAGATTTCTGACCCTCTGAAGTCACGTATGGTCATTGTGCAATAGTTAAGGGAAATTAACTTCTCAAAATACTTATTTTTACCTAGACAATCTTGGACAGTAGGACTTTTCTTGTATCATGAAGAGCCTGGCTATCTTGTCTTCAAGGTGTCCAGAGCTCTCTGTCTTCCATCAAGAAGAAAATTCTAATTATTTTTCTAGGTAAAGTCACACTGATTGGGATCAAACTGATTATTTCTTCAGTGGCAGAGAAGTGTCAGGGCAGTATGTGAAGAGAAATTCTGAAGATGAGGATGGAAATCTTGGAGTGCAGTGGGGATTTTCTCATTTATTTTAATGAGATCAGGATTTCAGCTAAGGAGTTTTTAAAAACTGGCAATCACACAGAGGTAAAATCTCTCCTTTTTGAGAAAATATGAACAGCAGTTAAAAATTACAATATTAATAAAATCTGTGCTTCTTTCTTCATCTGTCCTACAGAGGAGAGCATTAAGGACAGCCTCTGAAAAACTCAGGAATCGTTCCTCTTTTTCTACCAATGTTGTATACAACACCCCAGGAACTCGAGTAAACAGATACATCAGCCGTTTGATAGAGGCCCGGCAAACTGAGTCTGAGATGGCTGACTTGAACTTCATTACCCTGAAGTATAAGCAAATTGAGCGTGAAAATAAAGTAAGGGGGTTTAAACTAAATTTTTACTGATTTCTCTGGCTGTGAGCCAACTAGTACGGTTTTTCATTTGTTTTTAGACAATATTTAATCTCTATTCACTGTCTTTAAATAATCCTCTGGATTGTGTCTAAGTTAAGAGGGAGATGTTATGTCAACCTTTTATGGAAGCATTTGGAGGGGATAGGAAGAAAGATCGGTATCTTTCTCCTCATTAAAGTCCTTCCCCATAAAGTTACACATCCTGTGTTTTGGCCTTCCTTTTGCTTCTCCAAAATGCCTGATCTGCATCACCTGTTTGATGCTGTTTCATGGCAATATGGCTACCTACTGACTCATCTACTCTGCAGAAGTATTAATGACAGGAGGATGCTTCCCTCTGCATTATGTAACCTGATAAGTATTGATCCCGTCAATCTTAGAAAATATTTAAAAAATCTTAAATCTCTGGGCAAGGTTGTGATCTTATGCCAGTGTGACTGTTCTGAAAGCAGTAGACTTAGTCCAGACTTCTAAGCATGCATATTAAGCTAACAAAGTAGAGCTGTTTGTTTCTACCTTCATAGAATCATAGAATCATAGAATGGTTTGGGTTGGAAAGGACCTTAAAGATCATCCAGTTCCACCCCCCTGCCATGGGCAGGGACACCTCCCACTAGCCCAGGTTGCTCAAAGCCTCACCCAGCCTGGCCTTGAACCCCTCCAGGGATGGGGCATCCACAGCTTCTCTGGGCAACCTGGGTCACTGCCTCACCACCCGCACAGGAAAACATTTCTTCCAAATATCTAATCTAAATCTGCCCTCTTCCAGTTTAAATCCATTACCCCTTCTCCAGTCACTGCATGCCTTTGTAAGAAGTCCCTTCCCATCTCTCCTGTAGCCCCCTTTCAGCTCTGGAAGCTGCTCTAAGGTCTCCCCGGAGCCTTCTCTTCTCCAGGCTGAACACCCCCAACTCTCTCAGCCTGTCCTCATAGGGGAGGTGCTCCAGCCCTCTGAACATACCTTGTATAGGTTTTGTTTGTAAAACACAAATTGTTTTAGTTGGAAAAAAAAAAAAAAAAAGTCTTTTGTTTACGTGTTTGAAAAAGCAAAAGTGATATGATCTTGGATTAATTTGGCAGTAGCATTTATTTTTCTACTGTAAGTCACTTCATAGTCTAAGATTTCATGTCACTACTGTTTCAAGTCAGAAGCCTGTGTGCCACATTGGACTCAATGTTGAGCATTAACTTAGATTTCAAGTTTCCACAGTGATTTATTATTTAATCGTAATAGTTTTCTTTCAAAATAAGAAAGTCTTTTGGTTTAAATGAGGTTGAAATCTGGATCTTTCTGGGAAAACACTTGTGTGTTTCCACCCCTGGAAAGTGTTCTGTTGTAAGGACTGTGGCGTAGTGGAATCAGGGACAGTAACTCCTCAAAACTGGGCCCATGACTCTCATTAGCAGCTGCCTCCGGCCCACCTGTTAGTGTCTTGTCCTGAGAAGCTTTTGTGACGAATAAGGAGAGAGTGCCACTTCCTTCTGGTTCAAAATGGCTGAATCCTTTTTGCTCTGAAAGGTAAACTTAATGTCTGAGCCTAACACAGATTTGACTAGTTACAGGGTGAAAACTAAAGAGCTAGGCCAACAGGAACAGCTAAAACAGAAGGCTGTCAAGGAAAATGTTGCGTAGACTTGCCTCATCCTTTTTTTTCTGTGTGAATTAAGCAATTATTACTTGTATGTTTGTAAAATGGGTAGGGGCTTGTTTTATTTTAGGCTATAGTTCTTTCTTACTGAGAATGGATGAGCATGGGTGGCTGGGTGTGTATAAAATGCTCACTGTCTGCATCTCTTCCTTTCTTTGACAGTACCACCAGCTGCAGGATGAGTACTTCACCAGTGCTGTAGTTCTCTCACTAATTCTAGCTGCCTTATTTGGCCTTGTCTACCTTCTAATAATACCACAGTAAGTTTCTGTCTTTTGCCTTTATAATTCAAAGTGGAACATCTTCAAGCATCTTGCGCAGATCCAAACACTAATGTCTTTGGAACAGGAATTAGCACCCAGGTCGGTATCTTCTCAAACAGGAGACTCTCTGTTGGTATACCCTCAGTCTAACTGTTATCTCTTCCATTTCTCCAAAGGAGCTACATTTTGCTATCTTACTTAAAACAATTTCTTCCTTGTTCTCTCTTTTTTTTTTTTTTTCTTTTTTTTTTTTTTGGTAGAAGGATGCACGTAGAAGACAAAAACACTGAAATCTGCTAAACTTATTTAAAGCATTTCTGCAATGCAAACAAAGGTGTTGCTGCAGCTTTTCTAAATGTATTTGTGCTGGCTTTGGAAGAGGTACTTCAGGTATTGATAGCAACATAGATAAAACTATACAGAACTTAACGGGAACTAAGTACTGAAGTATACATCCAGCTTTTCTACCCAAATTTTTAGCCTGCATTGAGGTTTTTGGTATCAATGCTGTCACTACAGAAACTGCCTGGTGCACAGTTTGGCCATTCCTACAAGAGTTGCAGTCAGACCTTGACTGCACTAAAGCAGACATAACCAAATACTCATCATGTATTTGTGGGGTGTCTGATGCCTATTGTTGAGTGATACAGTATAGTGATTACTTCAGGTTTTGTCAATTCTATGTGAATGCTTACTAAATAAAAAAATAATTAGACTTCACTTTCAAATCTTGGGATTATAGTAAGTATACATAATGATGTTCAAGGTATAAAAATAATGAGTAATAAGCTTTTTCAGATGAGAGTAACAAAACATTCAAAATAAGCTTCATCCACTTTGACTCATTGTTAGGATTTCAGTGGGAATAGAACTGGCCACAGGATAATGCTTTTGAAAATCCTATTTTAATTTTTGGTCTTTTCTGTTCACACATCCCCAATCAGAATAATATTTACTCCCATATTCTATTATTTCTAATTGAAAGTTTGAGAAACGCTTTTTTTTAATTTTCGTAGTAATAATAATCATGCAAATTTGTTATATAATACCTTTCCCCTGAAGAATTCAAAGTCACTTACAAAAGTAATCTAATTTCCAGATTAACAACCTCTGCTGACTAATTGGAGCATAGTTAAGAAATCTTTCACCTACTTCTGAAGTAAAGCCCAGCTGCTTTACATGGCAATTTAGAACAAGAGATGAAGAGTATTAGTGTAGTTGAAACTAGGATGAATTTTCAAGAATCATATGGTATGGTAGTTGGTAACCTTTCCAAAAAGTACTGACATTTAAAAACCAGCTGGACAGAGAGATTCAGTTTAAGCTCTTATCTGACAGACACAGAAGCTCCAGCAGAACATGACCACTGATGGCCATGAAGATGGACTGCTTCATCACCGGGTTAGTTAGAAAAGCCACCCACAGAATGGTCTTAAGTTCTCTCTTCCAGTGCCTGTTGATGATGGCTTCATACAACCAAATTGCTAGTCTTCTTGGGCTCTTTCCTCTCTGTGAAACAGACACAACCATAAGGTAGACTAAAACTTTGGAAATATTGGAAATATTTTGCTCTCCACAGAACTTGGAGCTTTAAGTTGGTCTTTAGATTGACAAAGTAGTTATAAGTATGACAAGAGAAAGCAAAAGCCAAAACAAGAAGTGTTATGTGTTACTATTACGGGAAAAGCGATAACAGTGGCTTTTGACATGCATTACGATATTCCAAGGAGGAGCTTCAAAATCTAGAGAGATAAAAATGTTCTAAGAAAGACAGTTGCTGCATAAATACACAGGAAAGAAACAGGCTCGACATTTTCACAATTCCTATGATCATCTGAGGAAAACAGCTTCTCAGCTAAAGACATATTTTGTATCCCCAGATGGAGTTGGTGAAAATAAGGCTTTGTTCCTGTCAACCCCAGCTGTCCAATCATGGAGGCACACATGCAGCATAGCCACTGAAAGCCCTGATGATGAACCTTTTTGATGTCTTATGCTGGCTTTATTTTTAAAAAACAATGTAGCACTTTGTTACTGGTGACAACCCAAATCTCTGACAGAGTCCCACTCAGCACTAGTATCAGTTGTTGGCTATTTCTGTCTTAAAAGGTGCTGTTTCAGTCATGTTTCCTGCATTTTCTTCTAGCATATTACCATTCTGAATACAAGCCAATTCTCTGAAAGCACAGGAGAGCCTGCTGTCTATTAATACTTGTCTTCAGAATCCACACTGACAGCATCTAGAATCACCTCCCCATTCTGGATACACATGTTACACCACAGATCAAAATCAAAGTCAAATACTGAGAAATTCTACAGCAGAAGAACTGCACTCTTCTACTGTTAGAAACCCTGTATAAGCAATCCCTCCCCAGTGATGGTCAAGGCACAGATACATATGTGCCTGCAGCCACGGCTCACGTCTTCTAGGCTGGCTAGGTTGTTCTCACAAGACTAGAAAATAAGGTGTAAAGATCATGTTATGCTGCTGTCAAACGGCCCTGGTTCCATGGCTGGCTTGGGGCCAGGCTGTCCCTGAGCATAAATCAAAGCACCAACACTGGTGGACTAATTTTTGACAGCTTGCTCACATCCATAAGGTACTGTTCCAATAAAACAGGTTTTCTGGCAGAGAGAAGTGCTTGGTCTGCACTCCTCATGAAGAACAAACCTATTTTGAAAAATCAGGAGAGTGAAGATTAAGAATTAAAAGAATCACTACAACATCCTTTGTGAAACCTAAGATTTTTCTAACCATTGAGGAAGACTCAAAAGGAGGGAGTTGCTCTGTTTCGTTAGAAAAAGGGCTTGCAGTCTGGTCTGATTTTATGTGGCTTGATAAGTGACTGAGTTGACTGACCTCTGATTTCTGAATCTTTGAGAAGGAGACATTGGAAGAGAAAAGCATGTAGCAACTTACACAGCTGCCAAAACCAAGTAATTGGGCTACACACTCCACTTATAAGAGTCATCATGCTGAATATTCTGCATCAGCCTACAATTAGAAAGTGTCTCTCCTGACACACCATACAGTTGAATTCTTGAGGTGCCGTGATCTCCTTGCTGAGGTCAGAGTGGACACCATATACAAGAGCATTTACTGATTTTTCTTTTTTGAGTGCAGTGCATCCCACTGTGAAGTTTCCTCTGCGACAGTCAGTATTACAGGGAGATCCTCCACCATGCATCCAAAATACCATTTCAGAAGGACCACTGTGCTGTTTATTCTCACCTGCTACTGAGTTGCATTGCTTTACTTTTATTGTGTTTTAATTCTAGGAGTACCGTAGTTCTTGTTCTCCTGGTGTTCTGCATATGCTTCCTAGTGGCTTGTATTATGTACCTACATGTCACACGAGTACAAGTAAGTGATTTAAGATTTTATGACTATTCTTCCTTTTAGTAGCTATGATTTGTTTTTCCTCTGGCATATGAAGACATCAGTGCATGCTTCACGGATTCATAGAGTTTGAAATCTATGTGGTTTTCAGGTTCATTGCTAAGTAATGTATCAGGCACTTCAAAACCAAAAGATGGTTCATCAAAAAGTAGACTTTTTACGTGAGTAATCATTAAAGCAATGTAGCATTCAGTGTCATTAATACTATACTTTTTGTCTTTTTTTTGCTACGTCTTCCCTGAACACCTACCGCTAGCTACTGAATCATTCCAGTGTTCAGATAAACAGCTGCTTTAACCTGACTTTTTCTCCTTTCTGACTATGGAGCACACTAGTTATCCTTTCCATATCAGACTGGTATTTGGGTGTAAAGTCCTGATAACTTCCCCTCTGTTTTCAAAACTTTTTCTGCCAAAGCAGCAGCTGTTTAGATGGTAAAGTACAATGTTTTGCACACGCAACCCTTGGCCTTTTCAAAACCTCTAGTAATGATTAATTCTGCATTACATTTTCACAACAGTAATGATGCAGAAGGACATTTGGTTATTGTACGATAGAACTAGGTCTGCCAGATTGGAATAAAGCATCTAAAGACTAATTTTCTGATGAAAGAAATCTGTAGTGGCTTAATCTAAATTTAATAGTTTCAAACAAATATCAGGAGAAAACACCTACCCAGTTAATCAGCTTTGCTGATTAGCACACACTGATTTTTAGTTAAGAAAAAATGCCCTTTGGCAAGAGGAGAGTAATTGTTTTCATGGAAACATAAATAGTATATTAGCAGAGTATCTGGTACAGAGCAAATCTTTATTTATAAACTTACACAATTATTTGTGAGTAATTTTGATGATCTCTTTAGTTTCATAAAAGCACAGTAGTTTGTCATCTATTTTTCTGTCTACGGACAGTAGAAACACAGATGAAGTTTGTAGGAAATTGCTCCTCTTTATGCCATTTCCCTGGGGCTAGTGCAAACTTAAGGTTTGTTCCAGCTGTTTTGGCAGTCAACAAAATTTCAATTTATTCCATATTCCTCTAGAGATTCAGTACCTTACAGGATCAAATCCAGCATTAGAAAAGTAAAGAAATGTAAAAAAGTCAGAATATCACAGTTTGAAATTTTGTGGTGAAAATTTTTCTTAATAAATGAAAGATAATGAATATGCTATGTATAATGAATATTGAATTGTAAATCTAGTCATTCCCCTATTTTAATCAGTCTTCTGGCACTTATTTGATATTTTACACTGGACAAGTGACTCAACTTCTCCATGTTTTAACATCAAATGCCTCACCCATAAAACCAATATAACAATGTTTTACTGTACCAGTTACCTGGCATTTTGTGGATCTGATGGTACTTATTCAGTTAACAAAAATTCCACTAACAAAAGAAAAGAAAAAAAGATTAAACCCAAAATGCTACGCTATCGTAAAAGAGCAGATGCAATCTTAGAATGACCAAAAGTGAGAAGGATAAATCTTTTCAGTGCCAGTCAGAGATTTAATTCAGACTGTGATGGGTTAGCCCTTGGCTGGGGACAAAACCACACACCCACCCACACAACCCCCCCCCCCTACTCAAGGATAGGGGAGAGAGTTAAAGGGGTAAAGGGAAAAAAGGACTCGTGGCTTGAGATAAGGACAATTTAATAACTAAACTACAATAATATTGAAAATAATCCTATATACAAATATACAAATGAATGATACACAGTGACACTGTCCCCCCCACCCGATGACCAAGGCTCAGCCTGTTCCCAGCTAACGATCCCAGAGCAGGGAGAGTCGATCCCAGAGCAGGGAGAGTCCCGAAACCACACTCACAATTCCCCCAGGCGGCGGGTGCACCGTTCCCAGAGGCACTCACGGAACGGAGAGAACAGTCCGAGCGTCCCAGACCCAGAGCTGACCGGGG